TATTTTTTCTTGCCTTTATAAAGCTTGGACTCTGTAAATGAATTCTGAACCTCCCATGTTGCCTACTGACAAATATTGCGCATATGAAACTCGTATTATTGTAGGTCATTGAATTCATTTTTAAAATGCCAATTGACATCATTCCCGTAGGGAGTTGTAAGTTGCAGCCTCATATTATGTTCTAGCACAAATGTGGAAATTCACTGTTTTAGAAGGGAGCTCATTTGTAGTACAGAAACAACATGGATCAGGTGATCCCTTTCTAGCATTTAAATTTAAGATGGAAATAGCAGAGTTTCTAGAGATTTTCACTCTAATTGCATTTTTAGCACTTAGGAGAAAACTGAGATTGCTGTCTGTACTTTTCACAGCAGAATTCACAACTGCAGTTGATTGTTGTATTTTGCATAACCAAAAATGGAAATTAAAGTAGTAGTTAGTATAGACACAGAGATACCAAATGCATGAAGAGAATCAGCCATACACAAGTTTTCCAGCACTGTTTTTGTGAGTGGGTTTTTTTTGACTGGAAAGATCTTTGGGTGTTTCTTGTACATGCTATATTATATCCTGCTGACATATGGCATGCATTTTATTTTCGTCATACAGTCAAAAATAGAGCACTGTAGGTGAGAGATGATCATTAGCCAATAAAATTTGCTTCTTGTTTACTTATACTAATGCTGAGTAGCACTGTGGCACTTAATGGTTTGTCAGTAAATGATTTTGGTTCTTCATGTGTTTTTAAATATGCTAATTTTTATTCTGTAGAGATATGCAATATAATCGGTTTATAAACAAAGCAGGGTTACCTGCTTAGGCCATCCTCCTTTGTAGGATTACACATTATCTTGTCTACATGAAAATTATACCTTGTTTAGGACAAATACAGAAGTTGCAAGAACGGACGCTTTGCTTACTGTTGAAGTGCACAATTTTGTGTGTTCCTGTTGTTCTAAACTTTTTAATAACAGTATTTCTTTTTCCCATAGGTAAGCTTCTTTATTTACAGGAGAGATGTTTCCTATTTGGCACAGTCAGCACAGAGTGATTATGACCCCCTAAAACTTGTCCGTAATGCTCAAATAGTAAATCTTGAATTGGGAATCCTTAGGTATGGGAAATACACTAAGAAAATTTGTTAATGTATTTTTAACTAGGTAATATATGATGCAGAATATATATATCCTTGGCAACAAGAATAAAGACTTTATAAATATTGGCTTATTTTCCAATTCATATTTCTAATTTAAATGGTTACGTCCCTGAATAAGTAGAATTCTTTTTGACATTCTCCAGTGAGAGACCATATTAATAATGCATATTTCATTTTTTTTCCACATCTAATTCAAATTTATTTGATTCATTTTGTAGCTTTTCACTGAAAGTGTGGCTTTTAGTAGCACAACATCTTGCCAAGGATACCACAAACTATGCTGAACTTTAAAAGCAGATTTATATGAGTTTTTTTTTTTTGGTTACATGGGTTTTGATGAGTTAACAACATAATATCATTTGAGGGAAGAAAAGAGAAGGTGGGAGGGAGGGAGGAAGGGAGGGCAGTGCTTTCTTTGTATTATTCAGACTGCGCAGTGAATTTACATGAGAATTTTATCAGCATTCTTGGTGATATGCCTACTGTGAATGAATTCCCCACAGATGGAAATTTTTTGAACTGTCTTCTTTATCTTTCTTCTTTTGAGATATAGGCTAAAAGGATGGATCTGCCTTTTATGTCTAGAGAATGATACCTTGAGATTTATTTGTCATGTATTTCAGACAAGCCTGTCCAGCTGTTGAAAATAAAGGGCAATTTTGCAGACTATTTTGACTTGCACTAGGAGGAGGTTGTGGCCAAGAACTGGGGAGAATAGCCATTTTCTTGACCATCTCTGTTATATTATTGGAAGTGACTTAAAACAGTTCATATTCTGAGCAAAAGTCCTTGTATGTACAAGCAACTTAAAAAAGTTAACGAATTAGGTTAAACAAGTTCAGGGGGAAGGTGCTACACATTTGTGTTGGCAATTCCAGACAGGAGTACAGACTGGAAGAGGAACTCATTGATAACATCTCTACCCAGAAGGACTTGGGGGTTCTGGAGTACGAGAGGCTGGACATGAGGCAGCAGTGTGTGTTGCAGCCCAGAAGGCCAACTGTATTCTGTGGTGCATCAGAAGAGGGGTGGCCAGCAGGGGTGGCCTGCTTTGCCTTGTGAAGGCCCAGCTGGATTACTGCATCCAAACATGCAGCCTCCAGCATAAGAGAGACGTGGAGCTGTTGGAGTGGGTGCAAAGGAGTGTCACAAAGATCGTTAGAGAGCTGGAGCACCTCTCCTCTGAGGCAGAGGAAGCTGGGCTTGTTCAGTCTGGAGAAGAGAAGGCTGCAGGAGACCTAATTGCAGCCTTTCAATACTTCAGAGGGGCTTATAAAAAAGATGTAAGAATCCAGAAAAATTGACTTGTGTGATTATTATTGGCTTTCACGTTCCTTGTCAGAGTTAGAAAATTCTCTGTTAATACTATTATAATAAAACTTACATGTGTAACATAGTAACTTAATATGTGTTGTAGTGCAATTAAAATAGCTCTTCTGTGTGGGTAACTAAGGTGACGCATCATTGAAGTCAAATAGAGGATAACTATTGCTTTGACTTGGAGATACTTAGGATTGTTTTCTTTTCTTTGTTGTTCTTTGCTTAAAAAGATTTAGCAGATTGCAGATGATCAGGCAAAAAGCCAAGCAGAAATATGTTTATTTTAGATGAAAGCTAGAAGAACTGGTAGCCAGCATGTTGTATAATATTGTGATTAACATAATTTCTTTTTCTAAATTGAAAACAGTGCTTTATTCTACATAAAAGCCAGTAATCAATATTTGTAAGAATCTTGTCTATTTTTAATAACTGTGGAACACTAGACTTTTTATATAACTTTGAGTAAATTAGTAACTTTTTTTTTTTTTCTAGCACATGAGAAAGAGAAAACCCAGTGATTGCATTAAGATGCACATTTTTATGATTGTGAAAAGGCACTTTTTTTCTCTTCAGAGGCAGCTACTGTTAGGAGGTAGTATGATTTCTTGGCTTGATTGGTTCTGGCCCCTTTGGAGAAAATTCTGAGAACTACATTAGGAGAAGGTGTAGAATTCATTTTGTATAATCTTGTGAAATCTGAAGGCTGGCACTTTTATCTATAAACATGGTCATCAAAACCTTGCAAGTAAAACTCATTCTACTTCATGTAAACCAACTTTTCACATTGCCTCTTGTATCATTAAAAAAAAAAAAAATGTTGTTAGCCAATGTGACTGAAAAAAGACTTACTGAAAGGCAGGAGTGTGTCAGGTAGCTTTTATGCTATTGAATGGCACCTTTAGTTGTCAGCATAGGCACTTGCTGAGAGTTTTGGGAGTGGTAGTAATGAATGTAGGAAAATAGAGTGATAGGATGTTCTTTTTTTTACCTGTAGAGTTCACAGTTTTGTGGGGACGTATCTTTGGTTTAATATTGATTTAAATGATGCATATTTCAAACCATCAACTGTGACTTGCTTTGAAATGTGTATGTAGTTTCCATTTACTGTCACTCATTTTGAAAGCTGCTGACAAATAACATTAATTCTCAGAGTATCTGGTCTAATTCCTGAAGTGTATTTTGACTAAGTGATCTTGTCTGTATGAAGTTTTGGCCTTTTTGACAAATAACCTGACAGATTGGGTTCAAGGTCAGAGCATGAGTTTTAACAGTTTTTCAATGCTTGGCTGTTTCCACAGTCTTACTTGCATGAAAGCCTAATATTTAAAAAGCCTAATATTTAAAAATGCCTAATATTTAAAAATGTCGTATCTCTATATGTCTAATTATCTTGTTTCATCAAAGGAGTGTCATGGTTTTTTTGTATTCTAATTATGAAATAATTTGAAATCTGAGGTCATTGACCCTCTATGAAAGAAAAAAATCAAGGTGTTTATATTTCCATCTAATAAAAACAGTATTCCAGACCTCAGTATGTATGTTCTGTAAACTTGTTTGTAGTTCCCACAGAAATTCAAATACACAACGAGAATCTGTTAAGTGGCTAGACTGCATATGCATGAAATAACTGAATAATCATTCATGAAATATGCATGCATGAAATTACTGAATATCTATTGATTTCTCATTTTCAAGTGTTGCTTTTGCATAGTGCCTTGGAACTGATAGGTTAATAAGTATATTTTTTCAGTGATTTCTTTTCTTCCTTTTTTTTTTTTTCTTTGAAGCTTGCTTCACAAAAGATACATGGAACATTTTGTTACAAAGGGAATTTTGGTATAGAAAGCAAAACTAACTGGAAATAATAAAAATATTGAAGTCTGCATGTTTGGAAATATCTTAATAATTAAGACTGAAACTTCTTTTGTTTTGTCTGGTGGTTGACACCCTGCATATAGCAGGGGGGTTGAAACTCGATGATTGTTATGGTCCTTTTCAACCCAGGCCATTATATGATTTTAAGACATATATGTTGTTAAAATCAGTCAGTAGGTATAGAAAGATAAATTTCTCCAGGTGGTCACTTAATTATCCCATCAGTTGGATATTTTCAATTTTTGCTTTGTCACTCGAACAGTGAGAAATGCAGGTTTTTAGACTGCCTTTGTGAAACACCTTGTTTTATTTATGAACATGAATATGAAAAGAATTTCTATGCCTGTCTGTATTTCTGACTTCATGTTTTGGATTCTGTTCTCTGACTCAGGTGCCTGAAAGGTAGTCATTATTTTGCTGAATATCTACAGACTTAATTCCTCTATTTTGGGTTGCCATGCTTACATTTAAAAAAAGGCATACATATGTCTGCAGTGGTAATGATGCCAAGTTGGAACACACTCCTTAGCTGCAGGTCCCACATGGGCTCTACATCCTGCTTATAGAAACTGAAGATTCAATGTATAGCCATGTTCTACATGGGGAAAGGAACTTGCCAAAACTCTTCATCCCATCTTCTTTCTTTCAGTTTTCAGCCGTGCTCAAAGATCCACGACCCACTTCTAATATGGTTAGCGTTCTGAAGAAACTTCTAAATTCAAGGACTGAGAAAAAGTCTATAGAGTACAATAATACAAGATAAGGAAGGTTAGAGATGCATACAGCATTGTTGAGATGGGTGTGATAAATAAGTCAAGACAGACACATCAGCATGAAAAGGTATGCCAACATAAAGGGAAAAATGGAGGTAGCAGAAGATAGCAGATCATCACCACTGAGGAGCTATTCCAGGTAGCACTGAGGGATGATTTCCCTTCCAACATGATTGACAGCACTTACAGGGAAAGGACTCTGCATGCCTTGCCTGCGTAGTGATGATAATAATGCTTCGTCTAGTATCTCATGAAATTCTAGACATATATCGTTTGCATTAATCAATAAATAATTTTAGGAATAGTAGTTTATATTTACTGTTTTTTTGTGTGTTATTTTAATTGTGTTTTAAGGCTTATTCTGCTTCCAGTGACTTCTTTGTCCACAGCTAAAGAGTAAAGAGACCTAAAGAAGGAGAGATGCATAGTTTGTTTAAAAAAAAAAAAAAAATTTGTTTTCCATTGAAATTCAAAACTGCTTTTTGTGGCCAGTGCTGTCTGTTTTCTGGGTTGACTGGGTGTTTGTGTTTCTGTAGAATTTTTTTTGCTGGAGTTAAAAAAATTTGAATAAATAAATATTGTATCAGTTTGCCATAATCTCTCCCCCAGTGGTAATTTACTGTCCATCATCATACAATGTGAATTGCATTAGTTTAGTTCCCATTTTGAAAAATGTCTTATTAGCCACCTTTTAAGCAGTAGTTTAAATTAAATTGACTCTGAGCCATATTTTAATACAGTATTCCAGCAGTGTGATAATATATTGAGGTGTATAGACATAAATCTGTCTGTAGAAAACCCACATATACAATTGTATATAAATCCACACCATTGTGGTGGTGTGGTTTTTAAGATCCACAACCAACCAGTCTGAATATATTGAATTCACTTTTGCTGTAGCAGTGGAGAAATCAATTCTGTAGTTCTACACGTAACAAGTGTCATAAGAATCAGACTTAAGATGCCACTGTGGTGATTTAAAAACAAATTATTTCACATGGATTGGAGAAAAATAACTGAATGCAAAAGCAGGTGAAGTAGTAGAGAAAATAATTCCAAGTTATCTTTTCTTAAAAGAAAATGTTAATGGTATATAACAGTAGTGTTGTTCAGAAAAAGCCTTCCCACTGCCTTTTCAGTTGCAAACTCTTAATTATATCTTACTCATCTAAACTAACAATGATCTTCGTAACGTTTGTGTCTCTTTTTATGTTTTTAGCTACTGCTGTATATAGTATTGTCAACTATCTGTTGTGTATCGTGGTATACATAATTTCTCAGAACTTAAACTTGAAAAGATATATAAGATTATCTATTATAAGATAATATATGCTAGTATATTATGTTAAAACTAGCATGCTATTTATAATGTGCACCTCATCACATCTAGTCTCTAACTGTAGTGGAGGAGGATAGGAATATTACATATTGTTTACAAATTGTTTGTTGTTGTTGTATGTATGTTTCTCTCTTTACAGAATCAGGTCAATGAAAACCATAATGTAATTTCCTGTATAAAAGAGTTTGCATTTCCTTTTTTCTCTGAGATGGTCTGTAATGTAAACACAGAGACTGGGTTTCTGTCTCCTCATACCCATATGATTTATTTTCTGAGTAGGGTTCTCTGATTTTTCCTAAGCCTTTGATCAGAGCTCTTTTTCCAAGATTACAGGAAATAAGTAGTTGAAGAACTGTGCAGTATTGAATTTGTATTTAATGTAGAAGAACTGGAAGAAAGTTAATGGCATTTAAAAAAAAACTTTGTGGGTAGGAGTGTGAAGAGTAGATGATATTTTTAAAATATGTATAAGACAAGTAGACAATACTGAGAACAAAATTGAGAAGAAACCAAATTGTTTCATATCATACATATGTGAATACATTATTATATTCATGTGTATTCATGTAATGAAAGGTCAATTTACTTTTTTTCAAGTCCTCACGTATGTTGCACTGAGAATGTAGGAAACTCAGAAACTCATCCTATATAACATTGGTCGAGTGGAGATATTAAAGGTGAAGAAAAGGAGGTTCCATGTGTTTTTCAAAAAGCCTTGTGATGAAGACAGAAAAACCTGAGTTTAATTAGTCTAGAGGAAAAAAAAAAAAAAAACAAAGAAAAAAAAAAAAGATGAAGTGGAAATGTGACATTCTTGATGTAAAGAGCAAATTGGACAAAGCATAGCCAGAAATAAGTGAAGTATTATTGGTTCTGCATCAATGCAAGAAGGCTAGGCTGGATCATCTCCCTCCCTTCCAGTCTTAATTTTCTGTTAACTCAGTCTTCCATCCAAAAGAACTGCACCGTTGTCTGAGATTAAAATTGATTTTTGACCATAGACACTTGCGTCCTACACTCCTTAATGATGGTAGTTCCTTTTGTTAACCTGCAGAGATGGAAAAGGGCACAAGCGCGTGCTGTTCACAGGTTGGTAGTTTTCTATTATTACTCAACATATGCAGCAGGCTGAATCTTCATTGTCAGATTTCATGGTTAAAATTATTTTCCAGTAGTAATTCGTTGGATGTTATGCTGCAGCTTTTGCTTTCAGAAATTATTTTTAAGCTATTATTTTTATGTTTGTTGCTTAATGCAAATGTGCTTGCCTGGAGTAGTGTAAGAAAATGAAGTAAAACCCCAAACATTTAGTCTGTACGGTGATTGCAAATGTGCAAAGCTGCTTGACTGCAAATGTTTGATTGCCTAAATGTGGAAAGCTACAGTAATTCAAGTAAATAGTATACAAATTTAAAAATCAACTACATATATTAGCCAGGTGTCTGTCACTTGAATTAAAGTGTTCCACATTGGATGAGAAGAACACGTTTATATCTTAATACCAGTTCTTGTTTAAATATTTTAGGTGCCTTGATGCATCTTACTCAGCCTGCAGCTTTTGGCACTGTTTGGGGAAACTCTTTTTATGTTTTATTCACTTCATCTTACATTATTTGTAAATCTAAGATCATTAGAGTAGCTGACAGAAAAAGAAGGAAAGTTTTTCATCTTAATTAATATTTGATGCTTGTGTGTAACTCCTAATGGTACCAAACTGGGAACTGTGTAAAGAACAAGCTATTAAATGATCATTTTTACTGAGAAATATCTGTTTTTTTTTTTTTTTTTAATTAATTAAGTTCTAAGCGGCATGGGCTTTCCCAGGTCTGCTTCAAGAAAGAAAGCTATCAAAACAGGTTAGTAAATCCAATCTCTCTTTGCATACTTTAAATCTGTGCCTAAGTTATATATGAGAAATGTTTCAAATTCCTTTAACTCAAGCTATTTATAGTTGTTTGTAAACAGCAGGAAACAGAAATTCCAAAACACAGCAAGAAATGTTTCTGTGAAAAAATGGTAGCGATCAACAAACAGCAGTGCACCTCCCCCCAAAATAAACAAAGCAAAAAACCCAAACACCATGATCAGAAGCGGCACAGTAAGTTAAACACGCAGTAGTTTTTCATCTTAATGTGATGTGAGCAAAACAAGAGAATACATTTTTTTCTCCTTTTGAAGACTTATCATTGTGTGGCACTAATAAAGCTTGAGAGTTGCATATAGTATTTATAGCTGTAGTTTCATTTTGGACTCCTTTCTTTGTTTCTTAAAATTAGAATAAAATACTTTACTTCCTTCTGAAGTTTTATTTTCCAGTTAGGAGCATATATTCCTTGAAAAGAAAAATTTTTAAAAAAATGATACTGACTACACAGCAAAAGTTCTGCTGGCTGCTGCTGTTTTTTTTTTTTTTTTTTCTTTTTTTCTTTTTTACATCTATTATTGCCAAGAGTATTCTGTCTTTTGATCACAGACTTGAGAGGAGGCAACAAAAAGCAGTATTTATGAGTCCAATAGGCAAAGCAAAACATAAGTTTATTTCTGTCTTTTTCATGCTGTTTGTCTGATAAGGATCAGCTTCAAGTGTATCTTTTATTGTTCTTGCTATTTTGATTTAACAGATGCATTTCTTTTTAAAGGACCTGAATATACCCAGAGTGCTTTAGTATATATTATGGACTCGGTATAGATTTGGTAAAAAAAAAATAAAATAAATCTAATGTGAAATCACAAAGAAGTGGCTAAGCCAACATCAAAATCTGTTTTCCTTGCTTTGACTTCAGAACTGACTTGTTCAAATTCACAGGAAAAGTTACTTGTGCTATTTTTTCTTACCATGCCTCCATATTACCCAGACCTTGGGGATGTTTGTAGGATCATACAATGGCTTGGGTTGGAAGGGACGTCAAAGATCATCAACCCCCCTGCTGCAGGCATTTTGTCAGTATATTGGTCTAAAACCTAGTTTATATCAGCATGCACCTTTCTGTATTTCAGTATGTTTCTTAGAAGGCTGTTTAATGTTTGCTGAGAATGCTGCTGCTCATTCTCTTTTGGAAATCATAAACTATAAATGCACAGAATAAGCAGTAATATGCAGCAGAATTCTGCAGTATCTTATTAATTGTATTTATTCGTGATTTTTTAAAAATAACTAATATATTTAGTAATTCATTGACTTAGCTTTATCACACTAGTGTTCCAGGGCAAACCCATAGTCTCAAGTATTGCCATTGTAGGGGTGCTGCTGATATGAAAAGAGCAAAATAGTTAAAAGTTCTGTGCAAACAGAACTGATCTGAACTTAGGTCTGCTGATCATAACTTCTTGCTGCTTGGTCTTTGTCATTCTGAGGATTTGAGGTATCTTTACTGTCAGAAATATTCCTTCTTTTGCAATGTAATGTCTAGATTATATCTTATTTAAATGTATCTGTCTGAAAAGGAGATTTCTGATAAAACTTAGTCATCTAGACCTCCTTTGTAATTGACAAGACAAGCAGGTTATCTTGTTTTAAAAGACATCAGTTATATCTGGGATGATTTGCAATCTTTTGGTGCTTGTCTGAGCCAGTCAGTTGGATGAAGGATCTGGCTGAGTAGCTTAGACAAGCCCATCTTGTAGATTGCTGAAGGTAAGTGTGATGGATTTGACACATACGGCACTTACGTGCGGTACTGCAGACTTAGAGTGAACCACACAGTTAGCTTAAAGGATAATAATTGCTCTATGTGTAAGTTCCAGTTATAAAATAATGAACTCTATTAAAGTCTGAAAAAAGGAGCAAGCTGTATGTAGTTAGTTGCATGCAAATTGCACAAAGACAATCACATGTAAATAGACCGGGAATTTCAGAAAATCTCATCAAGATGTGAGAATAACATTAATTTGAAGGGGCTTGTTGATTTCTAATATGTGAAAATACCCAGAAGTGAGAAACATTTGAATTGCTGGTGTGTGGTAAAGGAAAATGAGTATCTGTCCTGGATTATAGCTTCACATTGAGTAGACATCACTGAAAGGGAGAAGAGAAAAAAAATAAAAAGAAAATACCTTTCAGCCTAGAAAAGGAGCAGATTCTACTATGGGAAACAAATGCTAGTATATGCATTAAGATTAACTGAAGAAGTAGGGCACTATAGTATCTTGTTTTCATTGATTTACTGCATAACTATATGGGAACATTTAATGAAATAGCTGAAGAGTAATTAATAAATGATAAACATAAATACTTTTTCAAGTACTGAGAAAATGACAGCAGTATCAGTTTCATTTGGCTACTATATTGCCAATTGAAAACTATTGGTTTCTATAACCAATTGGTAACTATAAAAAGGCTTGATTGTCTAGGTCAAATGAAGGAATAACATTACAGTGTAGAATGTTAGAATTAAAGCTAATATTTGAGAAAATATGCTTCTTGTTAAACGGAATTATGTCCCAAAACACATTGATTTTCCCCAGTATCCTCCACTAAGTCATCGTGTTTGTCTTCATTCATTCATAAGATGTGACTGAATTTCCAGGATGTGTAGTGAACAGTATGAATATAAACATATGACATTGTTTGGCACATTTTTGGATGTTCTTTTGTGAAAAAACCTGTTCAGTGTTAAACACAAGCATGGGGGAGGTAGAGAACTGGTGAAAAAAGGGGGGAATCTTTTTTTTATTTTCTCAATCTCAAAATATGACAGAATACTATTCCAAATTCTTAGGGAAATAATTAGCAAAATTGATAGGCTTCCTCATTTTATGAGTTTTTGTTGGTCAAACAAGTAGTGTGACCTTACAGAGACTGATGTAGGAGAATATATGGTTCACAGTTTAACCAGTTTTTTAAATAATATGAAGTTCAAACTCATTATGTATGGAAAGGCTGGTTTCTATTTAGAAGAGCTTTATTCTGATCAGAAAAATGATGTATAAAGTTGGTTTGTGCTACATTATTAATTTAGAATTGTGAGTATTGATAATGAACAAAAGAATTTTCTGCCTGAGAGGTTTCTCTCTCTCAGAAGTGCTATGTGGGTGGCTTCTTGTTCTTCCATGTATGAGTCAAAACATATTGCTGCACTTAGAGCAATAGTAGAAGATTATAGAAGGATTTATATAGCTGAACAGAAAACATACAATGTGGGTAGACAAGTAACATTTCGTTTTTCCCGTTAGTTCCATTTTAAATAGCTGACTATCCGTTTGCAGTTTACTCTGGTCATTCCTGGAAGTGAATTTCTGACACCCCGCAGAAAATTTTCAGTTTTCCAGGTATCCCAAGCAATTATCATTTTTAAAGTAGATTTTGGTTGTCTTTGGAATTAACTATTTTATACAGTCACTAAGGGAAATGTATTACAAGTGTTGGGAATGCATTACAGAGTGCAAAACTAGATGCACATCCAAAATACATCCATTACATAGTGGTTTTGGTTTATAAAATGAATCGATTCAAACTTTCAGCTTAATGCATATCTAGATTTATTAAGAGAGAAGACCTTTCTGTAATATAAAATAATCAATAAAGTGAAATAAGATGTACTCATATACTGTTGAAGAATAAACTTTAGTTTGAGGCTATAGTCTGTTTTCTTTATGCTATGTTAATTTTCTCTCAGTATCTTAATTGAACCCCTTTTACAGGGGCTTAAGCGTAGAATACCTACAAAATTTCCACTAACAACTCAATTAATAATCTCATATAAATATAAAATGTCATTATATTTATCTGTCTTAGTTTTATAGATTTCGGTATTTAGCCATATACATGCAGTACTACTATTTTGTCAACCTGTCAGGAATCTTAATACTGAGATTATTTAATAAGACTTTTAAAATATCGATACAACATTAATTATCTTCTCAACCTTTCTGAGTCATCGAGTTGATGATAATAGTTGAGAAAAGCTGCTGCATAGCTTTTTAAAAGCAACCAGTAATCCTTACCTGCTACTTTTTAATGCATGTATGTTTAGTATCTTTCATTACAAGACACTCAGTAGTTACTGCTGGGGTGGAATTTTGGTGTAAGCTGATGTCAAATGTATTAATTTAATTCTTCGGATCACAGGACAAAGCTATTTTTTAGATGTCGTAAGTCATTCAAGTGGTATGCATCATCTACAATTAAACATAAAATTTGCAAAAGAGCAAGATAATTATAGAGTGTGTAGGCTTCTACATATTTCCAGTAGGCAGCATAAAGGAAAAAGAGGAAATTAAAATTAGGAAAAGTGTTTGGAGAAAAGGAAGCTTGAAGACGCAAAAGTACATGCATTGATTATTTCTTGTATTTCATCCAACCTTCTTTCGTATTTCAGTTCTGTGAAATTAGCCCTAGAGAACTTGTGAGTTTTCTGGATTTTACCTATCTTTATTTGTGGTTAATTTTATCCATTCTTCCATATTATAATTAGATAATTTTATTATAATAAAGTAGTCATTGACCTCTATGGTTATGGAGGTAAAATGTGCCAAGGAAGGTAACTAGAGCATCACTTAAATGCAGTAGAACTTTTTATTATCTATGTGATCAATTCTGTTGTTCATTATATTTGTTCAGAGTTTAACTAAATATCAGTATGCAAACTACTCTAATGGGGAACAGATCATATAGTTCTGTCTTATTTTCTTCAATGGCTGAGGTACAAAGTTTTCTTACATATTTAAGTTCTAGCTGATTGGGTTACAGGTTTTCAAAAAATCCTTTTTGTTTTATAGTGCACCATCTTTGTCCAGTTGATTTCACTGACACC